TTTAATCTGAGCAGAGCAATATAATGATTGGGAGTTATAAGGAGTTTATTGTGCCGACGGGCAACCGACGGGCACAGAGTGATAACTCTTATTGAAACCAATATGGATATCTACAACAACAACATGGATTTCTACAACAGTAATTATTGATAGCCAGTGATTGTACTTATTCAGTATTATTGTATTGCATGTGTACAGCCTTGACATATGGATTTACTGCTTTATTGATTTGAATGGATTTATGGATTTACTGTTATCGTACGATTTCATTGATATCGTCATTCTGTCACTGTGCATTGCTACTGTTATAGCATACGGATATTGATACTATTGCTGCTGCATTTGATTCATTGCTAGTATAGACTGGACCGTATTGTATTGATTTATGATCTCCTACCGATTGATTTGATAGACCAGATATCATTGTATTGATTTGAGTCGATTTGATACGATTGATTTGACTGATCGCTGTTCTACTGTTTATTGATTCTTCTACCGCTGCCTTGATTATTGATTTGATTTCCATTGCATTGATTCACTGATTATGTGTAATTGATTGTTATTGATTCGACTGATTGACATGCATATTGTTTCCAATATTGTGCTTCAATTACAGTTGTAGGTATTAGGTCACCTGCTGGGCTTTTTGAAGCTCATTATATGTGGTTAACATTTTCAGGTCAGGGCAAGGGAGCAGGTGATTGAGGTTGATCAGGATCTCCAGGTTTCTGTTCTTTTTGATAGTAGTGATTCTTTTGTACTCAGGATATGATATATTGCAGTTTATGTGTTCCTAGTGTAGCTCCTGAGTATTGTTTATGATCTTTTGTAATGAACAGAACTGTATATTGATCTTTAAAAAAAAATGTTATAGATTTGTTTTGCTAGACCGTTTGATTGATGTTATAGATAGCTCTGGTAAATTTGTTGATGGTTTGATTGAAATTTTTTCCAAGTTAGATCTTGGGGCGTCACAAGTTAGCATCAGAGCACTGTTATTGGAAGAATGAATTGTTACCAGAGTTATAGGATTGGATTGAGAGTTGGGTAGAATGAGTAGCTATAAGTGCATCATTTTGCATACATAATTGCATGTGTGTATCATGTATTCTTAACTGTGCAGGTGAAAAGATAAATGGATAATCCAGAATCAAGTGTACCAAACGAGCAACACAGTGCAGCTCCAGTACATTCAGAGAGTATGATGCAGTTGGCTACTAGTATAGCACAGGTAATGGGGGATGCACAGAGCAAGATGAGTGGGAGTAAAGAAGAAGAAGCTGATAAACATTTGCAGATGTTTCATAAACCGAAGCCTCCGTTGTTCAAAGGAGCTGTGGGACCCCAAGCTGCTGAAGATTGGATAATGAGAGTAGAAAAGATCTTTGACAGCATGCAGTGTCTGGGCAATCGAAAGGTACCATTGGCTGTGTTTCTATTTGAGGGAGAAGCAGAGAGATGGTGGATTGGACAGCAGAGAGAGAAATTTCAGGGGAAGACAAATGCTGAGATCACCTGGGATGAGTTTACTGCAGTGTTTCGGATGTGGTTTGTACCTCCGTCAGCTCAACGACAAATGCAGGAAGCTTTTATGAGATTGGAACAAGGACGCAAGACAGTGATACAGTACGAGGCAGAGTTTACTGTACTTGCGAGGTATGCTTCTCATTTGATCCCTACCGCTGAAGAAAAATGCTATAGATTTCTGCATGGACTGAATAGAGAGCTGAGACATCCACTAGTACCCTTCCGGATCCATGAGTTTTCAGAGTTGGTGGAGCGGGACAGACTGATAGAGATTGATTTGACAACGCCAGTATCGAGATATGATGATACAAGGAGGAGGAGAGATGAAGTCAGACGAGAGGAATTAGGTAGAGAAAGAGATAGAGAGAAGAGAAGCAAATATGGTGATTCAAGGGGATCTGCATCGGGATCTGCATCAGTAGTATCTTCTGGTTCCAGCGAGTGCATTCATTGTGGTCGACGACATGCAGGTCGGTGCTACTTATTGACGGGACAGTGCTTTCACTGTGGACAGCAAGGGCATAGAGTAGCAAATTGCCCTCAGAAAGGATTGGGTGGAAGAACTGATTCTGGTACAGGACAGCAGAGGACAATTGGCTCGAGAACCTACAGTGAGAGATCAGGGAACCGGATGACTGATAGAGCCGTCAGAAATAGTCAGAGGGAGACTGTTGCGCCACGACCTCCTGCACTTCCTCCAGTGGTGCCACGTATCTACAGTCTACATCATTATGAAGATCAACAACGACCAGAAAGTTCTACTGGTAAGACGATTTGACTAATTGATTGATTGACATATGATCATGCATAGTGACATGTGATTGTGATTGACCGAATTGTGTGATTTGTATGATTTTCGCCGAGTTTTGATTTTGATTCAAATTTGATTGGATTTGTTTTATCGCGATTTGCTTCGGACCTTTAGGGAAATGTCGGGACGATATTTTTCTAAGGTGGAGAGATTGTGAGAGCTCATAGCTCGTTTCTTTGATTTCCTTCTGGGATCGTTCGGGACGATGTTGAGATCGTCCAGAACGATCAGAAATGGCTGATTTCTGGGTGGATCATCTAGGCCGATTTTGGATCGTTCTGGGACGATCAGTTCATGGCACAAGTCAGTGAGCAAGGGTTTTTATCGTCCAAGGAAATTAATTATCGGCCTGAAATATCGTCCTGGACGATTGGAATTTGGTCACATCGTCCCGGACGATGTGGCGATCGGCCGGGCCGATCTGGTCTGGGATATAAGGAAATCAGCTCATTTTGAGGAGAGAGAAATTTATTTTTTATAAAATAAATATCCGAGGAGAGAGAAAGAGAAGGAAAGTAAAGGAAAAGCTCATTTTCGGAGACCGCGGAGCGCTTTTCGTCCGTCGCCGCTGTTGTGTAAAGTGTTGATCTCGCGGTAAGGACTCCGAATCCTATCTCTGTTTTTGAAGATGTTGAGTTTTGGTCGTTTTGTGCACAGTTTTGTGTTTTTGTTACCGATAAACGTGCCGCATTTTGTATTGACGAATCTTTCACCGCACAACTTTTAATATGTTATGGATACGAATATTCTACACAATTTGATTCTTTTCTAGAACGATTTTACCGATTATTTTGGGATCTGCGCGATTTTGATCGAATAGAAAAATATCAAGATGTTTATTGATATTGATTCAGTAGAATAATAGTC